ATTATATAATAATTTTAATAATTTTACCAAAATAAAATTATTTAAAAAATTTTACACAAATAAAAATATATAAAAGGTTTATACATAAACATATTAATAAAATTATAATATAAAAAAAGAAAATGATATATACACTATGATATGCATACGTGCGTGCGTGCGAGCGTGCGTGCATTTTTGCGTGCGTGCGTGCGTGCGTATGTGCGCACACACGCTTGTGTGTGTGTCTACATCATCTTTATATCTTTATATTATAACTTTTTTATATAAATCGATTTTTATAATTTAAGTTTTTTATAAAATAAAATGTCGGTAAGGTAGCTGATTATCTTATCTGTAATTATCGATATCGTTAAAATTATCGACATTAAAATTTTTTCAATCATCGATTTGTAACGGTGTAACATTCTGCTAATTGCTAAAATTTAAACTCCCAAGAATAGTAATATAAAAAAATGTATATAATCAATTAAAAGATGCTATTTCTCAAAATTCCAAAAATTTTAAGTCTAATCGCGTTTGAAATGCAAAGTTTTGAAAATTCAAATCAGAAAATTCACATCAGAAAAATATGAAGAAAAAAATAATAACCAGACAACACATCTGGTGTAAACAAAAAAAAATTCCAAGCGTTGCAATTTTGAAAATTACTCAGCAAACGAGAATGGATTGAAATGAATTGAAATGGATTCAGATTTTCAGAAATATTGATTCACAAATGTTAAAATGAATGCTTTTCAATTCTGAATGCATTTTTATTCATTTATAAGAATTGCATGGAGCATATCTCTATGCCTTTCAATCTAAAAATAATATTTTTTCTGTGCACACAATTGTGAATACTATTCAATTCAAAATTTTGAATAGGAAATGCAATTTTTCAATTCAATTGCATCCAATCGAATCCAATTGAATCTATTAGGTGTTGGAATTAATTCGTAGCGTTTTTTAATGAAAGAATGTTATTTATTTCACATGAGCATTAAAAAATACATTAATGAAAGTACTTTTTAAACTTATAAATACTTTGTAAAACGCTACGAATTAATTCCAACACCTAATATTAAAATCAAAAAAAAATATTCGCTATTTAAAATACACATTCGGATAGAAAAAAATTTCAATCCATTATAATCCATTCTCGTTTGCTGGATATACTTATTATTATAAATTCTATTTCGTTATCTATGTTCAGTATGAACAATTATGTCAACACGGTGCACAATCATAATACATAAATATTTACATATAACGCGCACTCCTACAATTGGTCATTGATGCAACTTCATATCAATGCCGATGGCCGAGGCGATCTATGTCTACCTGGGACACAAACGGTATATTGAGGTTAGCAGAAGTCGTATACAGTCGTATGTGTGAACGGATCGCAAGATAGTTCCGACGACCGAGGCTAAATAATTTCAAATTTCAAAAGTTTACGTTCGCCGGACAGAATCGATGCTGTCGCAGCGCCCGTTACGTTCGTGGCACAAAACGGGCTCGTGTAATAGTTTCGTGACGTGTCTTTGCTGGAGTCGCTCGTTGTTTGGCAGGTGCGAATCAGCTGTGTGATCCCCCGTATACATCACGATCTGATATTTTGTAACTGCGTCCTGGACGTATTGTAAACGAGATATCTCCTTCCGTTGAGAGTGCCTCGATTACGAATAAATTTGTTTTCTTCCAAGCTTCACGATGATTCCATTTAACCCAATTCCTCCGCGTGTGATTACCGTACGAGTAAACTATACATTGATGATATAATACAGTTTTCTTAATTTTACGTCAGTAGAATTTTTCAACAATTTTATATCTCTTGTACGACTGATGTTTCTATATGTAAATTATTCCTCATTGATCTATTACACTAAAAATAACTCAACGCAGTTACTCACCTTTTTTT